CCGGCGGTCGCGCCCAAGGAGAGGGATGTCGTCCTCCATGCCGACTGGCTCAAGGTCTCCCCGGCGGCCGCGCCAAAACCTCTTAGGGCATTTCTAACCAAACCCCTATAACTGGTTAGTGGAGTAAAATTTACTCCGGCACCTAGTGGATAACAGAGTATATTTTTACTAACCGACACCTAGCCGATCCCCTATCAGCGGTTAGTGGAGTATATTTTTACTCCGGCCCCAAAAATTTCTCTATTTTTACTCCACCGATTGGCGGCCAAGTAAAACGTTGCGTCTCTCTCTCGCGTCCGCGCCGCCGCTGCATCTTCGCCAGCGCGCCTCCCGCCGGTCCCCCGCCGCTACCTCGTTCCATCCCTTGCCCTCCGCCGCCGTTCTGCCCATCGGCCAGACCGTTCGGCCCCCGTCGCCGTCGCCGGAATCAAGGTGAAACGCCGCCGCCGTCGCCATTGTTGATTCGTCCGTTTTCTTTCTAGTTTCTTCTTCTTCTAGTGGCCGCCGCATCTCACCTTGCTTGCGCACCGCAGCAGGTCACCCGCCGCTCGCTGGTTCGGTGTAAACCACGCCGGCCGGCTTTTGCACCACCACTGCACCCCAAGTGTTCGAAGAATTGCCTAGGTGAGTTTGTTTGTTTGTTTGTTTCTCTTCGAACCGAGCCGTTTGGATTGAACCGAACCGTTTGGATTGTAGATGAAGAGGTTGAGGGAGATGGCGTTGGAGGACTCGTCGTCATCCGAAGAGGAGGAAGAAGACTGGCGATGACTTCGACACCGTTTTAGGCATGATTTTCAATGATGATGTTCGGCGGCCGAGGAGAGGATCACAATTTGGCCACATACACATCAACCGTGATAGAGCGGAGGGCCATGCCAAGATCATGAAAGATTACTTTGATCCAAACCCAACCTATCCGGAGAAGTACTTTCGTCGACGCTTTCGGATGCACACAAGTCTTTTTCTGACCATTGCAAAAGCCGTTGAGAGATATGATGACTGGTTCAAGCTCAGGAGAAATGCATCTGGAGAGATCAGTACAAGCTCTCTGATGAAATGCATTGCGGATGTTTGAGTCTTGGCATATGGGTGTTCTGCCGATGCAATTGATGACTATGTACGCATTGGCGAAGACACAATCTTGGAGGCGGTTTGAAGGTTCACCAAAGCAGTGATCGCTGTCTTTGGCCCGGAGTACAGGAGAGCACCAACCGAGGAAGACACCCAGAGGCTTTGAACTGCTACTTGCTACATTTGAACCATTCGGCGTGTTTAAATTTGAATAATTCAATCTGTAAACTTTGAATTCGGTTTGTAAACTCTGAATTCGGTTTGTAAACTATATTCGTAATTTGGTTGAACATTCAAATTTATGTTTAGTTTCTATATGTGTGCTAATATGTAGTTGTAATTTATACTAGAATTGCAAAGTTTAGAAAAACAAAAATTTACTCTGTTATATTTAGGGGGTTATATTTAGGGGATCGGCTAGGTCCGGCCAAAACTTAGTGGAGTATTTAACTATTTATACTCCACTAAGCCTTTTACTCCGTTAACTTTTAGGGGGTCGGTTAGAGTTGGCCTTAGTGAGGTTGCCTTGTAGCTCATGGGCACGCAGGTGGAGGGCGTGCAGGTTGCAACACACACTGCGACGTTGAAGCGTATGGACCACTTTTGGGGAAGTAAACGCATATAAAGTGCTCTTTTGAAAAAATGCACCATAGATGCTGGCCATGCAAGCTTAGAACCTGAGATGAACAAACTTGCATAGTTTTGGGACCCAAAACTACAGTTTCGAAGTTATAGGACTAAACTGACACACCTCCAATAGTTTTGGGACCAAAAACTGCAGTTTCGAAGTTATAGGACTAAACTGGCACACCTCCAATAGTTTTAGGACCCAAAGCTGCAGTTTCCAAGTTATAGGACTAAACTGACACATCACCAATAGTTTTAGGACTTATGATGCATTTTACTCCTTTACTAAATATTTCTGAAGATGACATCAAACAATCTGTGGCAGATAGGCAGGGCACTATTGCCTTCCCATTAGTCATCGTGGAGGTCAGACTGGAGAGCCTTGCCGCGGGCCGCCGGGCTCGTACCTCAGCCAATTTAGAGGTTTGTGGAGAAGAAAGCAGCTGAGGTTTCCGTCAATTAAGACCTGCAGGACATTGATGTAACCCACACAGCAAATTGAAAACTGTGGCAGCAGGCACAAATGCGCAGTCGAGGAGGAGGCTGGTGGAGTTTGTCGCATAACAAAAGGCATGATGGAGATGATTGGAGAGGGACGGCAGGGCAAGTGCATGGGGCTGAACAGGATAGCGGCATGGACCACGGGACAGTTTAAATCAGTACAACAAGATTAGAATTAAAAAAAGGTAACTGATCATTAAATTCCCTGACCGCGGCAACTGTTGCAAATATAAAATCAGTACAACAAGATTAGGATAGCCCTGTTTGCCTTGATGCAGCAACTGAGTCACTAAAATTCCCTTTATCGAAATAAGTAAACATGAGGCAGTTGAAAAACGAAGTGGTCATGCACTTTGAAGAAACACGCACTCAACAAAGAACAGAACAGAAGAATGTGTACTCCAATCCAAGGAATGGATAGAAGTTTTCCTTTTGAAACAACACTAGAGCATATATAATCTAGAGTCTAGACAATATGTTCCAAATGAAAAAGATAGCAGCAATTCACGCTTCAAACTTCATTCATAACATTTGCAACATAAACAGCCATCGAGTGAACATAAAGTGCCTTGTACTGTACCTTTGCTTGCCGAGACACTATGCATAACTTCCAGGAGTTATCTGCTAGGTTAGCAGAGTTCCATATTTCATGACTACGAAGTATCTTGGCATCACGCTCTAGTAGCTAGCTGCTCAACACAACAGGGGAATCTTCTTTCACTATCTTGCAGTCAACTAATTCCTGAAGCAGCCTTTCTGCTTCTTCAATCCTGCCTGATTTCGCGACTCTTCTGACTATAGATAGATAAAATGAGTTGCTGGTGTTTTTAATTTCTGATACCATTACTCGCAGTATATCAGCAGCAGCTTCCGCTTTGCTATCTCTGCACAATGCCTGGATCACCATGACAAAAGTAGTTACTTTAACCTGAAAACCAAGAGCAAGTGTACGATTCAAGAGCTCTAGGGCCTCTTCAGCCATGTTTTTCCTACAGAAGCACATAACAAGTGAACCATAAGTAATGTCATCGGGACTGATCCCATCACTAGACATCTCATCAAACAGAGTCATAGCTTTGTCCACCTCACCCTTGTTTGCTAAAGCATCTATCAGGGTGTTGTACGTAATACGAACCAACTGCCATCCATTTTCTCTGATGCAACGGGCTATCAAAAGAGCTTCTTCCACCATACCCTCTTTACATATGGCATTTAGGAGTGTGTTGTACGTAACTATATCAGGAAAACATTTATCGCTAACCATCTTCTCCAACACACCAATAGCCTGATCGAGATGTCCATACTTACAGAAGTAGTTGATAAAAATATTGTAGGCAGTAACATCAGGCTCACAATTTGCATGGTTCATATGTGCAAGTAAACTTCAGCCCAGCTTTTTGTATTGCAGAGAGAATGGAGTAAGATGCAATAAGTTGTACTATTTGGCTCAAGGCCTTCAGCAATAAGACGAGTTAAGATGGTCTTTGCGTCCTTCAGCCTGCCTGCTTTACAAGATGCACTGATAAGAGCATTGTAGGTGACAACATCTGGTTGGCATCCCTCCAGAGCAAGTTCATTCAAGACTTCCATGGCACGCTTAGGACCACAGTTTTTGCATACAAGATCAACAAGCAAGGTGCTCGTCATAACATATGGTGGCCAACCTATTCTTAATTGCTCTTTCCAAAAGGTGATTGCCCTGCCATACATACGCTGGTTGCACATACACCTAATCAAAGTGTTAAAAGTGATGCCGTTCGGAGAGATACCACCATACCTCATGTCCTCCAATACGTTCATCGCCAAATCCAGCTGCCCTGTGCAGCAAAGTTGCGCAATCAGCATGTTGCAGGTGATGGTATCTGGAATCCCACCTGAGAGCACCATAACCTCAAGGACTTCCCTGGCTTTATTTGCCTTGTCAGTTTTAACAAGGCCACGGATTAATCTAATACAGCTCTTAGCACCCGGAATTTGGCCATGTAGCACCATCTCATCAATCAGCAAGCTTGAATGAGCTTCCCATTGTTGCAGTACCGGCGAAGGTTGCCAGCATAAAACACCCCTTTATCTTTCGGCAAATCAACCCCCTCGTTTGAGTTCTGACCCAAGTGTTTCCACGGCTTAGCTTGCAGGGACAAAATGGCCCTCTCGATGTCCCCGGCTGCTCTGCCATTTCCAGAGGCTGCACGATCCACCGAACCATCCCGCATTCTTCGTTCTGGCCGCATTACTACCACATTACCCGCATTCTTCCGCTTGGCGAAATCGTCCCCTGACCCAGGCCGCTGGTAAGGCCTCATCACCACTAAATCGTCAACATTTCTCTGTTCAGTTCTAGGGGGACAATCTAAATGCACCGCATGTGCTCTGAAACGGGAAGGGCGCATCATCGAGACGGTGACAACGATAATTGGGGCTGATCCACTTGGCCACAAACCACACCGGTGGCAGCCTGCGCCCCCCGAATGCACCATTCTACTGAACCGCCATGGCAATACGATTTGCCCCTGCGCGCGCCACGGTCCCTGCACAGATTGGGAAGGGGAGATTTTGAATCAGCGAAAAGGGAAGAGGTATTCGTGACAGCGAACTAGCGAAATGACCGGGCAGACGGGGTTTAGGGTTCTTGCTCAGAGGTCTCCGCCACTAGAGACCATTTCACAAGAACAAGCTGCGTACAGCAAAGGTCCGCAGTACAGAGTCGAGATTGTATTGTACCGGTGGTAAGGGTCACACTGCAGCTGGAGCTGGAGTACGAAGCCTGAACTGGTGCCGGGAATGGAGAACGGACGGCGCGAGGAACTCCGCCTCGACGAGTCGAGGTCCCGAGAGGAAGAGCTGAGCGGCGGCGGAGGCTCGGCCGGATTCGTCTCTCGCCTTCGTGTGGCGAGCAAAGCGGTGAGGTATGGGGAGCTGCGAGACTGTGCGAGCGGCAGCAGGAGAGAAGTGGTGCACGCCGCCGATGGTGGGACGGGAGGAAGGAAGGAGGCGTCCCCCTATTTGACGGGCCAAGGCCGACAGCTCCGTTATGGGCTGCCCACAGCGCGGCCCAAAAACCTTGCATCTTATTTTCTCTCAAAACAATCGTTAAAAACATTCAGAAAATATTACTGTTCAAACAACTTTCGAAATTAAAAATTACGAACAATTAAAAAAAATGCAAATTTTTCATCCACCTTGTGAAAAATAATTAATATGCATCATGCCTTTAAAATACGCTCATCATGTGTTTTGAAATATTTATTGTGTTTTAAAAAGTTCATCGCGTATTTAAAAAATACCCACTATGTATTTAAAATATATATATTAAATATTATAAATTTAAAAGGGGGAATAAACAAAAATAAAATAAAAACTTGAAGAAGATATAAGAAAATCGAAAAGAAAAAACTTGGAGAAAACCTAAGCCGAAAAGAAATAATGAAACAAAATACAATAGCTGCAAAATGGTTGACCCATACGCGTGCGGACAAAATGACCTTGTTAGAACACTTGATCACAAAAAAAACTCTCCATGAAATTATTGTACGATCTAACCCTTTTTGGAAACGCTAGAGCCTGTGGTGTTGCTGGTTAACACTGAAACGCCAAACCAGTCAGTGTTGCTGCCCGGGCCCATGGTCAGAACGCGCTGGCGTTGCGCGCTGACCACTCACTCTCTTCTCCCCCATTGGCCATCCCGAGCTCTTGCCCTTCTTTCCCTTTGTCTCCCTGATACGTCTCCGTCGTATCTATAATTTTTGATTGTTCCATGCCAATATTATATAACTTTTATATACTTTAGGCAACATTTTACATTATTTTTGGGACTAACATATTGATCCAGTGCCCAATGCCAGTTCCTGTTTGTTGCATGTTTTTTGTTTCGCGGAATATCCATATCGAATGAAGTCCAAACGCGATAAAAATTTACGAAGAAATTTTTTGGAATATATGTGATTTTTGGGAGGTGGAATCGACGCAAACGGAGGCCCACAGCCTCCACTACCCACCAGAGCGCGTCTGCCCCCCTGGCGCGGTGGTGCCTAGTGGGCACCCCGTAAGTCAGTTGGGGATCTTCTTCAGGCGCAAGGAAGCTTATATCCGGAAAAAAAATCGTATTAAAATTCCAGCGCAGTCGGAGTTACGGATCTCCGGATATTTAAGAAACGGTGAAGGGCTGAAAACGGGAACATGAAACAGAAGAGAACAGAGAGATAGATCCAATCTTGGAGAGGCTCTTGCCCCTTCGCCGCCATGGAGGCCATGGACCAGAGGGGGGACCCTCCTCCCATCTAGGAGGGAGGCCAAGGAAGAATAAGAAGGAGGGGGCTCTCTCTCCCCCGCTCTCTCGGTGGCGCCGGAGTGCCATCGGGGCAAGGATCGTGACGGCGATCTACACCAGCAATCTTGCTACCGTCAACACCAACTTTCTCCTCCTCTATGCATCGGTGTAACCTCTCTATTCCCGCTGTAATTATCTTTCTTAAACATGGTGCTCAACACTATATATTATTATCCAATGATAGGTGGTTATCCTATGATGTTTGAGTAGATCTGTTTTGTTCTATGGGTTGATTAATGATCATGATTGGTTTGAGTTGTATATTTTACTTTGGTGTTGTCCTATGATGCCCTCCATATCACGCAAACGTGAGGGATCCCCTTTGTAGGGTGTTGCAATACGTTTATGATTCGCTTATGGTGGGTGGCTATAGTGACAGAAACTTACGCCCGAGTAAGGGGGTTGTTGTGTCTGGGATAAAGAGGACTTGATACTTAATGCTATGGTTGGGTTTTACCTTAATGATCTTTGGTAGTTGCGGATGCTTGCTAGAGTTCCAATCATAAGTGCATATGATCCAAGTATGAAAAGTATTGATGGCTAGTGTCCACGTTAGTATTTCCCCAAAGAGGAAGGGATGATGCAGCACAGCTACGGTAGGTATTTCCCTCAGTTATGAAACCAAGATTATCGAACCAGTAGGAGAACCAAGAAACACTATGTAAACGGTTGTAAGGGCATTTTTATCCCTAAGTGGTTTTGGTGATTGATGACAATGCTTTTGCGGACTAATCATGTGCATTGAACATTTCAGATATCTCATGTTTAGGCACAAGACGATTCGTTGCCCCTCGGAGTCTAGTGAAGACGGAGTTTTCCCTATGTTTCTTTTTGGTGGATTTGAGTCGTAGGAAAGCCGTACTATTAAGAGGGGGTCTGCCTTGGAAAGGTTTGGGTGGAATCATCACGTACACGTCCGTTCCTTTTGCACCTCCTTTCCTTTGGCTCTTTGGAGCATCCTCCGGTTTTCCGTGTCTCTGCAAAATGAAGGACTCCTAGTGTTGTTGTGCTGGGGCATGCGGTAGTACTGCTCACAGACGCGGTAGTACCGCAGGCCCTTGCGGTAGTACCGCTCCAAGGGCGCGGTAGTACCGTGGCCTCAGGCCGGGCACAGCAGCATGAGCGGAAGTAGGGGCAGACGTAATTTTTTACATCCGCACCCTAAGCGATAGTACCGCTCCAGGTTTGCGGTAGTACCGCGTCGGATTTTTCCATAGATAGAAACTCAGTGAAAGTAGCCACAGATGTAATTTTTTATGTCCGTGCCTTCCCAGCCTAGACAACCCTGCCTCGTGGTAGTACCGCAAGGGGGAGCAGTAGTACCGCTCCGGCGGTTCTACCGCTCTTGGCTTCAACGCCTCAGGGCTAGTCTAGCCCCTGCCGCGCATACGGTAGTACCGTGGTGCCACTCGGTAGTACCGCGGGCCCTTGCAGCAGTACCGCATGTCTGGTGCGGTAGTACCACAAGTCGCGGGATGAGTAAGTGGATAACGGTTGGATTTGTCCTATCACTATAAAAGAGAGGTCTTCTTCTCCGAGTTGACCACCTCTTCCATCCCCAAGCTCCATTGTTGCTCCAAGCTCCATTTTCGCCCGATCTCTCTCCCTAGTCAATCAAACTTATTGATTTTCTAGGGATTGGTTGAGAAGGCCCCGATCTACACTTCCACCAAGAGAAATTTGATTCCCCCCACTAATCCCTTGCAGATCTTGTTACTCTTGGGTGTTTGAACACCCTAGATGGTTGAGGTCACCGCGGAGCCATAGTCCATTGTGGTGAAGCTTCGTGGTGGTGTTGGGAGCCTCTAACTAAGTTGTGGAGACTGCCCCAACCTTGTTTGTAAAGATTTGGTCGCCGCCTCCAAGGGCACCAATAGTGGAATCACGGCATCTGGCGTTGTGTGAGGGCGTGAGGAGAATACAGTGGCCCTAGTGGCTTCTTAGGGAGCATTGTGCCTCCACACTGCTCCAACAGAGACATACTTCCTCTCAAAGGGAAGGAACTTCGGTAACACATCCTCGTCTCCACCGGCTCCACTCTT